TTGCTTGTTCGTTAGTGGTCTCTCCACCGTGTGCCGTTTTCTGTCTCTTATTTCTTGTTATTTTCGACCTGGTCCCTTTTTGTCCTCCCTCTTTTTTGTCTCATTTCTCTTTCCTGTTTCCTCGTTTTCTCTCTTTTTCTATGCCAGATGGCCTTGTCTCTGCTTGCGTCGTGAAATATCAAGATTGAACCAAGGGGGTGTACCTCATTCTCTCCGGCCCGTGATGGTGACCCCTAGTCTCAGTTGTTTCCTCGCATAGCGCGCAGAGGAGTGGAGGACTCCAGAATATCTGTCGTTGTTTTCTGTTGACTTGCGAACCCCTCGGGGCAATTTTATTTGAGTGTACCTTTTTAGGGTAAGATAGGCTGCGACCACGGGAATCGACCGCGTCGAGAATTGGATCAGTACGGACATACGAAGGTACTGGGGAGAGAGACATGGAACGGTTTTTAGTGTGAAGACGACAATAACAACAACGCTCGGGTCGACGCTCGCGAGATGAGGAGCAGAGGTTCTGGCAATCACAGTACCAAAAGGTGACAAAAAACAAAAACATCGCCTCTCGCCTCGTTTGTAACTGCTTCATTCGCCCATGCGATCAAAAAGGAAGGGTGAACGCATCACCTTCAATCAATCCGCTAAGTTCAGCAGCGCGACAAGTGGTTGACGAACAAAAACAACTCTTGTTTTGTAGACTACAGCGTTTTGAGTTAATTTGCGGGCTCGGAACACCTGGCTTGTGCCATTGCTTGTCCGCTACAGCACCAACTTCGCCATCGTAAAGCGGTCGGATGGTTGTACGTGTGCCATGTGTGGCATAGACAACGACAAAAGACAGCCCCCACCCTCCCAACGTACGTGTATGCTGGATAATCCGGCGTTGCCCTCGCGTGCAACCGGGACCTGCCGACCGAAAGACTGCTGTACTTGCCATTCATTCTTGTGAATTGCTGCAGATGATGGTCCTCCTGGAATGTTAGGGCATGTCGGAGGGCAAACAAAATAAAAAAAATAATAATACACCATCAAAACATACGAACAGCAAGAAACCGCGCCCCCAGGGTAAAGTTGCCTCCACCATCCCTAGCCCTACGTATTGCAGGTGGCGCTCTCGTACACGTTGGAAATCAGGTCACGGCGAACCTACCAACTCCTTTTTGTGACATGCACCCACCCACCCATTCCCTCACGCGCACCCTCTCCTTTCCCCCAATATGCAAATTGGGGTCTGATCAATCCCCACTAAAAAAAACACTCAAGAAATCTGATGCAGTCTTCCGCAAACAAAAACACGATCGATCATGCTTGTGACAAAAAGCTCACAAAGACTTGTCATTCTAGTCTCCAAACAGCACGTCAAGTGAAATCACGAATCGCTTTTGACAAAAAAGCTTAATAGACTTCCGGCGACTCCGAAACAAATGTCGTTAAACACTCCAAGCGAGAAGCAAACACGATACCACCGCCGTAGCAGTGGTCTCTGTAAAAGGCTTTTGCGAAAATATGATCAGTCGGCCCTTTTGTACGGTCGGTCGAATCGCTTGACAATATGGCCCACGTACGTTCAACGTGTCTCACCCTCTGAATAAAAATATTCGGCCGGGTGCCCGGCAATACGGGCGGCAAATCCCGTGGCACCATGCAGGTTCATACAAAGGGTCCACCACCGTATCAACAACAACGGACAACACTTCCCCTGCAACAGATATAACATCAACAAGGCGGCGCGTTGTTCTGAAACACTCGCACTCATTCGTTCTAGCCCCGAACCAACCTTTTACCCCGACCCCTCTGCCGCCTAAGGCGCAAGTAACAACAGTAGCTCACAAGGTCCACCAAGTCACAACGAACTCCGCACAAGAAGAGAGAGCCAATAAAGTCTTAAAAAAAGAATCTGTGTGGTGTTGTACAGGAAAAAGACAGGGAGTGCCACCGGTCGCCCCGGTGGTCTAGTGGGTAGCCTCGTAGCCTGCTAAGGGCCAGGTCATGGGTTCGAGTCCCGGCAGAGTGAGTTTTATCTCGCTTATCAAATCCTGTTCTCCGTTGGAAGCGACGCGCTGCACAGCTCGTTGTTAGTAAACTTGATCGACTTCATAAGTCGCGAGGGAAGGGATTGCTTTACCCTTCTCGCGATAAAAACATCTCAGGCAGGGACCGCAGGAGAGGGTCCAACGCCCCCCTCCTATGTGACCCCCGTTGGGTCGTCTAGCTGGTAAAAGTGGAGGATAGAGGCCAGAGGGGCAGACGACAGAATCCAATGATGGGAGAAAAAACAACAAAAAAAAACAACAGTGGACGAGACCAAAACCAAAAATACTTCGTAAAAAAAAACAAGGCAAAACGGTGATTCAAGGAAAACACTTTTTCAAGGCAAAACTTGTAACGAACACACGGCTAAAACAACACTTACACTGTATATAACGTGTACACAAGACGATTAATTACCTCCATCTTGATCATCATCTCATCACTCTCTTCGACCCTCCTTGGAGAGCAAATACCAGGCTCCCCTTATCTATCACCCCTTCACACAAACAAAAACACTCTTCATACGCGTAGACTTCTTGCCGACGAGGCAACAGCAGCTCGCGCGGGAATTCCAAAGAGTATCGGCACCGCCCGAAACACAGGGGGAGGCAAGCGGAAAGTTTCCTTTTCCCGAACTCTACTGTTTCTTTTGGTCGCCCCCAACGTACGACTCGGGGAGGCTCTCGATTGTCACCCTCTCCCCTCTGTTGTACTCGCCACACGTGAACATCACAGTAGTTGACGCTAAACGGCGCACGGAGGTAGATTTCCCTTCGTACGAGCTGTCCCTAATGCTGCCCTGTACAGCGGTATCCATGTGTTGTTGAAATTCTTATACTTCGCATACGCAAAGCTCCCGGACCCTTCCCCCCTATTTTCTCAACCCGATGCCAGCCCGCCTGTTCTTCCATCTTCGCCGATTGTATTGCCTCCGCCTCCATCTGATGCCTCCCTGTAACTATCCCGCCTCACCAACGCGAACCAATGGCAAACAGGAACACATCGACAGGAATGGCAATACGCGTCGTTCTCGCTCTGGCTTGGTTGCACCCTCTGCTGTTGCTGCTGTTGCTGCTGCTGTGACCGGTGCCGAGACAAGCAAATCCAAACCCCACAGACAAAACTCTTGGTCTCTCCCGCCTCCTCTCGCCCCCCCCCCCCCCCCCCCCCCCCCCCCCCCCCCCCCCCCCCCCCCCCCCCCCCCCCCCCCCCCCCCCCCCCCCCCCCCCCCCCCCCCCCCCCCCCCGTTTCACCAAATAACCGCCAATACTAAAGCACGTCGTCGTCGGTGCTTCTGCTACGGCTGACGCAACCTCCGCTACGGCTGCTGCTGTGACTCTTGATGGACCCAACTACCCTTGCAGACCACCTTTTCATTCCATCTGCTTATCCTCTTTTTTCTCCTTCTCTTCTTGCCGTGTCCCTTCCCCCGCTGCTTCGTCGACGACCTCGCCGCCGCCGCCGCCGCTGCTGTCACTGTCGCTGCTGTGCCTGCTGCCGCTGTCGAAGCTAGAGAAGTAGGGAATGGAGCCGGGCGTCAGCTTGGCCGCCGCTATCGCCGCCCCTCTCCCCCTGTCGTCGGGCGTCCCAACCTTCCCGCGGCCATGACCGCTGCCAACGCCTTCGTCGAACGACACCCCCCAAGCGGGGGTGGATAGCGGAGCCCCCGGCATCCCGTTGCTCTTCCCCCCTTCCGCGAAGCCGCCCCCGCGGCCGTTGTCAGCGTAGCCGTGCCCCCCACCGGTCTCCAGGTCCACGTTAGCCTCGTCGGTGGAGGCGCCGCCGCCGCCGTTAACCTCGACGGGATCGTTGGCTGTTGCGAAGGAGGCGGCGGCGGCGGCGGCGGCAGGGGTGTCCTCCTCCGTGTTTCCGGTGGACAAGGCGGTGGCGACCGGGCCGGAGGCCGGGGGTGCGAACGGCCAGTGGTTGGGCAGGCCTGCTGCCACCTCGGGGAGGACCGCCTGCATATTGTTGAGTTCGTCGGTATATGCGGAACATGAGCGAGGCGGGGTGGTTGTGGACATGTTGGGACGGGACAACGGAGGGTAATCGGCGGCGCCACTGTGCGCTAGCTGGCTAGAAATAGAAGAAAAACCATCAAGTCGGGCGTCACTGGATATGGATGTGGGCGAAAAGAAACACAAACTGGTCGAGCTTGGCGGCAGACAGACAAATAGACAGACGGACGGACAGTTGGCATATGATGACGCAAGCCGAAACACTCCAGGAGCCACAAGCGTCGTCCTTTGCCAGTCGAAGAAGCCGCCCTCAGAAGCCGCAGCCACATCAACCAAAAATGGCCGGCGAGGAGGAAGAGGAAGAGGGTGAAGACAAAAGCCACACCGCCACACCCAGTCACAACCACACGTCACTGACCACACAAAGACCCCCAGATACCACCGTCACCCTCCCTGCTCATCACACCTCCAGCAACCGGCCGCGGAGCCCCTGCCGGTACCGTCCGGTGTCATGGTGGTGCACGTAGCGCCTCCGCTCTGATCGAGGGAAGACCCTCTGCTCCGCCAGGCTGGGGTCCAGAACGAGCGGGCCTCTCCCTCGACCGTCGATCAAAACCTTGGTTCCCGCGTGCCCGTACCGCCAGGTGGGTAACCCCTGCGGCGGGAGAAAGGTTGTTAGGGAGCCGAAAAAGCGGGGAGTAACAAGAGGGGAGCGGCAGCAAGAAGGAACAAGAGGGGAGCGGCGGCAAGAAGGAATCAAATGGAAGAGAAGCCAGGGCGACCCCTAACCCTCATGCCCCTCACCGGTACAGGGTCACCGTCCACCACGATCCGGAAGCTGCGCGGCACGGCGGCGTTGTACCTAGCCGCGTAGCGCGGGTTGCCCGCCCGCGGGGCCCCGAACGAGAACAGGCTTAGCTCAACCTCTCCCCTAGACCGCCGGTCCTCTCCATCGCCCCCCTCGCCCAGGGCGTCTTCTCTCCTTCCGCCGCCGTCGCCGCCGCCGGTGTCACCGACCACTGCGGGCACCTCCGCCGCCCGTATACCTTCCCGCGAGAAGGACCGCCGGGAACGGCTGCCGCAGGATGAGTCGGGCGGCGGTGGGGATGCCACGGCGGCGGCGGCGGCGGCGGCGGAAGGGTTCCCGTCGAGGCCTGGGGGGTTCGACGTTGCCCCTCCGGGCGTGCCGCTGCCGCGGTTGCTGCTGCGGCGGTGGCGGCGGCCATCACCTCCATCTTCGTCGGAAGAGGAGGAAGAGGATGAGGAATAGGCCTTGTTGCCGCCGCCGCCGTTGTTCTTCCCCTCATGAACCGGCCGCGGTCCCGACTTCGACGACACCGACGCCAGCGGTTCCATCGCCGCCGTGCCCCGCCGCGAGGACATGGGCGTCTCCAACGACAGGAAGGCTCCGGGCGTGGCGCATGACTCCAGCGTGGGGTAGGTTACCCCCGTCCTCCTGTCGTCGCCGTCGTCTCCGCGGACGGCGGCGGGTGAGGCGACGACGCTGGCTTCTTCGCCAATCGTGGCCGCGGCAGTACCGGCAGCAGCAGCGCTATCGTCATCGGCCGTGGTTTTCCCGGGTCCCTCGTCTCGCCGTTCCCTCTGCTGCTGCTGCTGCTGCTGCTGCTGCTGCTGCTGCTGGTCCTCCCCGACAGGGGGCCGTGAGAGCGACCGGTAGACGACGCGGTCCCGAAGAGCGCGGCGCCTTCTTGCGAAGTCTCCGAGGCGAGCGTGAATCTTGTCCACCGTGTACATCTGCGCCGCACGCACCGTTATCGTCGGGGTGAACAAACAAAACGAAAAAAACCCGACGTTTTTGGTTGTCGCGACGATCGTGCGTGCACGCGTTGGATTCCGAAGGCGTCGGTCGGGGATAGCGAGGGAAGAATTCACGTCACAAGCACGGGACTGGAAATGAGGCCTAAAGCGCTCTCTTTGGAGGGGCTACGCCAAATCACTTAGTGGAAGATTCTTGAGAGCAAAGAAAGTACCTTGAGATCCATCGCGCAGTGTGCGGCGAGACTCCCCCCCATGGAGTGCCCGGTCACGTAGAGCTGGATAGCGTCGGGGGCGTGCTCCTCGCTCAGCAGCCAACCAACCACGACCTTACGGACGGCCACGTGCACCTCCTCCCGCACCGCCTGGCACGACACCACGGACAGCAGTCAGTGGACGAGCAGCAGCAGCAGTAGCAGCAGCAGCAGCAGCAGCAGCACCGATGATAATGTACGCCAAAAAACGATGGAAAAGTGTGTCGTGTCGTGTGAGAAGTGTGTCGTCCGTACCCAACATCGACGGAAATGTGCGTTCCGTGTGACGGCATGTGTCTCGACCGACCGCACCAACAACAACGGAAAAATGGTGTCCTGTGAAGTGTGTCTCCCTTCCGTCCGCGACACAAGCGCGGGTCGTGACAAATACATAGAAGGGCGTTCGCGGTGTGGGTGTTCGCGTATGTGTACATGGAATCGGGGGCGGGATCGCGCGCGAGTTTGCGCCGTTCGGTGCTGGCTGAGGCGGGCCCAGTATCATTGGCGTTGTTTTTGTTGGGGGTATATCGTGGGGAAACGACGGGGCCTCCCTTCAGGAGATCGCGCAATTGCAACAGACAAGACGGGAGAACGACCGCAGAAAATAAACAAGCAAACACACACAACGCACCCAATACACACAAAGGCGTTCCTTATTCATTCTTGCCCGAAAAAGCGATGAACTACCGCGTTGGACTGTTAGCTTGTGCCTGATAGCAGCATCGCTTCTCATAAAAGAAGAGAAATAAGACCAACAAGACCAAACGATGTAACACCCACCTCGTACGAGTCCCAGATTCCGGTGTGCACCCTCCCCCTCAGGCACTTGTTCAAAACGGGGCCCCCGCTAAGCCCGGCCCCGTGGACCTGCCTGCTGTGAGAGACATCTCGTCCCCCCGTCACCCCCTCCTCTGCGTCTCTCAAGGAGTCGCCTGTCTGTGCTGGTTGTGCGGCTGCGGCGGGCAATGCGTCCTGATGGTTCTCAAAAATCCAACAACGACAAGACAAAAGAGGCAAAGAGTGGACGAAACAAGAGACACGGAACGTCGTGGTTTCTTCAGAGACAGCAGCGCGTTTCGCAGAAGCAAGCGAGCAACCAAGGGTCTTCCCCAATCACTGCTGTTGTGGTGGTAACCGCAGCTGACAAAGCGACGCGATTAAAGGTCAAACGCACCTGAAAATTCCCAATAGTCATTCCTCAACCCCCCACAAAAAAACGCATCCGCGTGACTAACCTCCATCTCCTCGTACCCAACGCCCACCCCTTCTACTATAATAAGACAAGACCCACGAAAAGACACTCGTTTCACGTTCGCCTCGCTGTTCTCCACCTCCTTTTTCCCTCTCGTCTCCGCATCTCCGGCAGCAGCGTCGACGACCTTCGCTCCTTGCCACGCGGCTCGCTCCCCCACCTCTTTATGTCCTCCCCCCGCCCCGCCGCCTTCTCTTCCTCTCCCGCCCCAACGCTCCTCGTCCTCCTCGTCCTCCTCCTTGCCCTCGGCGTCCTCACTCTCGAAGTCGGAGCTCCACATGGGAGAATCGCCGCCGCCGAAAGACGAGGCCCCGATAGACGACGCCGTCCTCAACAGCCTGCGGATCCAGCGCCTGCCCGTGTTCCCCCTCTGGTCTCCGTCCTTTCGCCGACGGTCGCCGCCGCCACCGCCACCCCCGTCGCCGTAGTCCCCGTTGCCGTCGCCGCCGCCATCGTCGCGGCCGCCATCGGCGGCGGCCGACGGGCTTGAGGCGTTCGCCGGTCGGACGTACGGGGGTGGTGCACTCGGAGGCGTCGTGGTGGCCCCCTTCTTGTCGAGCTCCAGTCCGTCGCCGACACCGCCGGGCGTTTCTCTCGATGCCGCTCCTGCGCTGCTGCTTCTGCTCCGCGTTAAACGTTTCACTACGGTGGACGAGGGAGCAAAAACAGCGGGGCAATCAGGCGAAGCGTCCGAAGTCGTCCCGCCGCCGCGGTTGATGGCGTTGCCGGCCCAAGCGGCATCGTCCATGGAACGACTGATGTTGCTGGCGCTCTTTGGGAAGAAAAATCTTCCCCGCGCCGGGTGCGAACCGACCGCCGTTGCCGGCGTCAGCGTCGTACTCCCAAGAACGTTGTGGTCGTCGTCGTGGTCGTCGTCGTTCTTGACGTCGCCGCCGCCGTTCAGGGTAGACAAGGACGGGGACGTCGGGACGGCAACGGTGTTTTTCTCCAAAGAGCCCGCATCGGCAGGGTGTGCAGAAGTGCGGGGTAAACAATGCCCCTGGGGCACAGCGCTCTCAGAGTTTTCTCGCCCCCCGGCGGCGGCGGCGGCGGCAGCGGACATACCGGTCGCGGTGTAATTGCCACGGACTTGAGCGGCGAGGGGTGCTGATTCCGCCCCCGGCCAGGGGTCCATGACCTCTTCGGCGAGCACCTTTGGCACTTCGGCCTCTCGGCCCACTGGCATCATCACGTCGAGGTTGAACTCCGTCTGCGTGAACCTGAAAGAGGTTTACGCGTGTCCCGCGAACACGAACGGGAAGGGTAACATGGGTGACGTGGTGGGTACGTAGAAAAACGGCGGTGGGGGGCGGAAGCGCAGCAAGAGGCGTCCTGACAAGACGAACAACATGAGCGTCTTGCTTGGACCAAGCGCGCAGAAACAAACGAACGACGTGGCACCGGGAATAGCCCCAACTGCAGGCCCCCCTCGCAGCGGCCAAACACTGGAGAACGTAAACGTCAGGACCCCCTCCTAAGCGCTCATGCTTCCAAATCGCAACCAAGCTGACGATCCCAGCAGGAACTTGCACCCAAGCAGCAGCAGCAGCAGCAGCAGCAGCAGCAGCAGCAGCAGCAGCAGCAGCAGCGGCAGCAGCAGCAGGTGTTTATTGTGCGGGTTACCGTATTCCACTCCACACGCTTCATGCGCGCACGCCCTATTCTTTTCACCCCCCCCCTCCAACGAAGTTAGTTGGGCCTCGGAGGCGTCCCCCACCCACGGACCTGAGTCTGTTCATCCAGGACCTTCTGCAGACCGCGCCACGAAACGCCACCACCAAACGCTGCGTCGAGGGAGAGAGAGAGAAAGAGACACGCACACACAGTGGCTCAATTGAAGAGGGGGGGTGCGGGGGGGGGTGCGAGAAAAACGGCACCGCTACAGCACCCCGCACCGAATAAAAGCGCGAGACATGCACAGACGCGCAACGGACCATGCAAAAACACGAGACAAACACGTACACGCGGACTTTGGGGTTGCCGTGTCCATTCCGCTAAGGTCGACTTGGTGCGTTATCGGTTCTCCACCCCTCAGCGCGGTTCATTTTAGCATAGTCGACACAAACAAGAAACAGAGGAATCGCAACCGACAATGCCAACATCTCGTTTTGAACAAAAAAAGTGCAACCCACAACCTCGGAGGAAAAACAGATCTGGCTCCAAACAAAGCTCGTCACCGCAGCGTATGTGGTAGTATCATACGTGAGGACGGACGTACCGCCCTCCGGTCGTCCTTGAGCACGAAGCAATGCGTGTCGTGCTCGGCGTTGGAGATATAGCCGAACACCTCGAGACCCACGCGCTCGAAGTCCGCGACGGCTAGGTTCGCCTCGTTGTTGGGCTTGGACGGGTCAGGAGGCATTTTGTAGGTTTCCTCTGATACCTCCAGAAGCCTGTAGACGGGGGGGGGG